TGGTTTGGGATCTTCGCGAGAACCGAGGACTCGGTGATCCGGTGGACAACTCTTTGCCGATGAGATGGCCGCCAGTCACGCTGAGATAGCCCGGCTGCATGTCGGAGGACAAGAGTATGGGCGATAATGGACGAGACAACGCCTTGACACGTCCCGGGCCGTCAAGATCGCTCCTCTCCATCTCCAGATCCTCATCTGGAAAGTGATCCTCTTCGTCGCCTAGAGTGGATAAAGGTGAATAGACAAACAAATCGGTTAAGGATTCGCTTTAAAATGATCAAGTCTCAACTGGAAATGTCGAACAAAAGATGCGATTCGAGTCGGCGCTTTAAGGTAAAGTTGTTTCCAGTCAAAGTGTGTGTGATGGGACGAAACTGACTGTCGTTTGGCTACACTGCAACATTCTCCTTAGTTGCCGGGCGAAAGTGGTACAGCTAGCTTGAGCTGGTTGTGAGAAATCGGTTGTCATCCCATTCGGTTGACAATGCAACTTGAAATGAAAGCTGTAATTCGCATTGATTTCGCAAAGTGATGATGGAGTGGTATTTGACTTTTACACAATCAAATCAGTAGAGACCACGTTTTCACAGAATTTCTGTCGGCTTTACTTTGATGAGCATACCTTTGGGGAGTGAAATGCAAAGGAAAGACTAGGCTTCCTCATAGCATGAGGGAAAAATTTATCTATCAATTCATAAGCATTTCATATAACCTTTTACGAATAAAGCTTTATTCACTATCTGTTGGCAATTGCAAAAATGAAAAAAGTATTAAATAGATGTTGATTGACCTTGTTTTCGCAACTTGCTCATATTGGTATGCATCATCATTTCCAAAGTCGGATCGTGGACGTGGTACATTCCCAGACGTTTCGCCGGCATCGTCAGTGAATCTCGTCATTGCAAGAATGAGTCTCAAACTCGATAAGTGACATGGCAAATGAAAGATTAGTCTGTTCTCCCTGAAAAGAGGGAGGATGTCTTTTGGATTGTGTAAATTGGAAAGTTTTATTGAAGCCAAACGTCAGCCTTTCAGCAATAATCTGCCATCGAGTTCTGGCAAGATCTACCTACGAAATTCTTCTTCATACATTTCAATATGAAATTTAAGTCTCTACAAAAATGGTTTCGTAGGAAATTAATCTAAACCGGCAATTTCTTTCATACCTTTGTCCTTGATTTACTATGCCTTGACGAAGCAGATTTACATTTTATTTTGTCAATTACTCCGACTTATGGCTGGTTTAGCGCACATACACTAATGCATATACACACTTGAGCATAAGAGAATCAATACATTCTTTATATATAAAGCTATATTTTTGAAAAAATTATTTTATGAGAATATATATTGCACGTAGGTAAGAGCCGGTCAATGTAATGCACAATCTTGCAAGAATGAGCCGCAGCCCTGACGCTGTTTGCCATGTGGCATGACAAACGAAACAAGGAAGAATGTCTCGTGGACTGCGTCAAACTGAGGGTCGTGTTAAAGCCAAACGGCAGCAGTACGACGGAAATTCTCTGTCCTATTCTGGCAACATCTAACTTCGAATCTCTTCATCATACAATTTTATAGGAAATGAAAGTCTCCACAAAAATATTAAATTTGTGTAATTTATTGGAAGAAAACGAATTATTATTAACTAAAATTATTAACGATGTTATATATTAATAATATAATTAATATTATTAATTAATGATTAAGGTATAGTTACAAAAATTATAGAAATTCAACAAAAAATGATTAAGGGAATAAACAAATAAATAAATATATGAATAAATGAATAAATAAATAAATGAATAATTGAATAAATGAATAAATGAATAAATGAATAAATTAATAAATGAAATAATGAATAAATAT